AATCCATTTCGTTCTATAGCGGACTCTCATATTCGCCCTTCCTCCCGTACTTTGGTTCTTAGGTCACTAAAAGTCCACCGATACTAGCGACGATCCATTCTTCGTTGATCTTAGGGAGAGGGTCTATAGGAGCCTCAACTAGTTCAACTTCCCTAGGTTGATAGTTTTCCTCTTAGACACTCCTCTCAACTAGAGTCCTTAATTCCTCCGACTTGTTGTTAGAATCATAGAGTTCTAGCGTGCCGTCTGGAGGTCCCCACTAGCTGCTGTCTGAGCCCGGCTAAGTATCGTGCTCTCATTCTTCTATACAATGGGTAGTATTAGCTTGTCTTAAGGTCTCGGTTTCCTTAGTAGCGTTGGCCTGCTTGCCCTTTCCCTTGTTATAGGAAGATGCAATATAGCCAGGCAGTCCACACTTGTAACAGAGTCCCTTCTCTCGACGCTCTTTCCTAACTTCTAGCGAAAGCTACTTCCTAAGCTTCTTCCTATAAAAGCCTCCCCTTTCACTCTTCCTCTAGCCTCTAGCTATAGTTCCATCGAGCTACATGGGATCCCCCTTGTTATGTAACTTTAGGGAACCCTATAGTTAGCGATAGGAGTACACCCCCTTTCGCTTAAGGCGCCTCTTATAGAACTACTCGTCGAATTTTGCGACTAGGCGTATAGTTTCCTGGAGGCTAGTGGGTTCTAGCTCTACTCGAGCGAGCTCGTCCTTAATGAACTCCTTAAGGCCCATATAGTACGTTCTTTTCAGAGCCTTTCCATCTCATCTAGCCTAACTAGAATACTACTGGAACTTAGAGGTGTAGTCCTTAACAGACCCTGTTTATCGTAGCCTTATCAATTCCCTTTCAGCCGTCTTTTCGACTTCTAGATCCCTGTAAACCCTTACTATAGCCTTCTTAAATCCTCTAAACCCTCTAAAGATAACCTTAGTCTCTTCCCTAGTGCTATTAAGGATCGTTCTAGTTATCGCGTGTCGATTAGTCATATAGTCAGACAAGTAGGCCTTAAACTAGTTGAAGGCTAGTCCCCTCAGGTAGCTAGCGGCAAAAGCTACTTTGGCCCCCTCGCTAGGGAACAAGTGTGGGTTAAACATCAAATAGATATCTATAGAACAAAGGAATGATTCGAGCTTGTGTTAAGTACCGTTATAAGTGTCTAGTACTTTAATAGCTAGGGTACGTTCTTATACCGCGATGGTCGTTACCTCCGTGGGTACTAGGGTCTCTACTCGTTTAGAGGTAGACATAGTTGCCGAATGCTAACTTTAAGACTAAGTGCTCAAAGTGTTACGACTCTCT